ACTTGCGATTCTCATATCCTATCCAAGGCAAAGCATTCTACTCTTTCCTACCCGAATTAAAAAAATCCTAGGATGCTGCGAAGCGAGATTCCCTTGTGTTTTCGTCCATGGTGAGGTATTTGTGGTTAGATCCATGTATAGAGAAGGGTTTCTCAGTGATGATTTCAATATGATGACGAGTCCGATGCTTTTCCATTCTTTTAAATCGTGACGACAAATCGAGGCATTTGTCTGAGAGAAACCCACCCGACTTTTTCATATTTTTGCTTATTTCTTAAAAATGGCATTTTTTTAGCTTGCTCTTGCATTTTAAAAGCATCCAAGGCATGATGATGAATTTACAAACAAAAAAAATCTGATTATTGTGTAATTGATAAAATATAATCTTATTTAATTTAGGCATTTGTCTGACGAATGCTTTATTTTAAGGCATGATGAATTTACAAACAAAAAATCTTAAAGTTAGAAGACTATATGTGGAATTGATCTTATTAAATAAAAATATATATAATAAAAATCACAATCTCCAAAAAGAAAAAAAATCAATGAAATTTAAAGTAAATTAATCATATTAGTGTTTTTTTTCTTAAAACTATGTGAAAATAAAAATTGATCATTAAATAATCATAAAATAATCATAAACGAAACGGTTAATAAATTTAACCAACCAAAGAAAAGATATAAATATATATATTTGTCGTGGAAAAATAAGTATAATGAACACTAGTATAAGAATAAAACAATGAGAGCATATTGATATTGATTTTATTACAATGAGAACATCTAGGGTGATACAAGCACCAATCAATTTAAGTGTATAGAAAAAATTGATTTTATTGCAATGAGAACATCTGTGGTGATACAAGCACCAATTGATTTAAGGGTCTAAAAAAATCTATAAAATAATTAAATAAACTTCAACAGGACAAGTAATATCAAATCTAACTCTAAAAAAAATACAGCACACAAATGATCCTTTAATTATATAATTTATTTTACTGAGTCCTTTAACTATTAAAAGTTACAAAATTGTATCTTAGCTATATAGGTCGTTGTTTTATTGAGTCTCTCAACTATTAAAAGTTACAAAATGATCATTTGAATATTCATATGTTTTAAAACTCGCCATTTTTCATTAAAAATTTGGCGTTCGTCTAAGCTGGACATTAACCTACTGATTATAATATAACAAAATCATATTTTTAATGATACCCAGCAGTATCGTTGTTGTTCTCAAGCAATGGCCTGATGGCATAATGTATCAAGCACTGATTTGACGACATAATGTAAATGTAGAGTCGATCCAAAAATAAAGCTCAAATGATTATGGGTTTAGATTTGATCGTATCCAGCTAATAGGTTAACACCAAGCTCAGACGGTCACCAATTTTTAAACGGAAAAGGACGAGTTTGAAACATATGAATAGTCGAGTGACCATTTTGTAACTTTTAATAGTCAAATGGCTCAACAAAATAGTGTCCTATAGTCGAAGGATCATTTTGTAACTTTTAATAGTCGGATGATTCAACAAACTAGAACCCTATAATCGAGGGACCAATTATGTATTTTACCCAAAAAAAAGTACTTTAAGAAAAGATAAAATATATTCATATTTTTCATTATAAAATATGAAGATTTTATTTTTGAACAAAATAAACTAATAAAACTCATACATGTAAAACAAAAAAATAGAGATATAGAATAAGAAAGAAAAAAAAAAAAGGAGAAAGAAGAGGAAATTTTGTGAGTGCTAAACAATACAAAAGAAATGAATGTCAACCGTTAATTAGTTTGGGTTGATTTTTTATTTCATTGTTTGGGCTGTGTTATATTGGACAAGAGATTGGATAGTACTTATATTTAGGCCTTGAGCTTTTTATCACTGGGTTACCTTAGCAAGGTCCATAACCATTAATTCATAGAATCAGAATTCACATAAAAGTTTGGTCATTATATTTTAGTTTGATCAACTTTGATTTTATACATTTTAAAGTTTGAAATTTCAGTCTCGGCTCAAACAATAAAAAAAATGATTAAATTATAAAAAATAAAATAAAAAAAAATCAAAGAACAAGAACTAAATCTATTGTTTTCAGATTACGACTAATGTTTAGTTTAAACTATTCGACTATGATTGATCCGTGTTGGTGGAATAAAATTTCTTCATGATCAATTATTTATTTCAAAATATACTAAAATTTTGTGGATATGTTTAAGATCAACTCAGCTTAAAAAATTAAACTAAAACCAGATGAAGCATTCAAGTATATATCTTCATTTCATTTATTGTGCACACATGTGCATAAAACAATCTTTTTTTGGATCCTCAATGACTTTAAATCAAAACCCAATAATTTGATTTGCTTACAACCAAAAGGGCCTACCGAATGTGCATGACAACCGTACATTATTTGTTATTGCCAAAAAAATGAAGAAGAAAAGAAAGAGCGCTTCATGTTGTCGACAATGGAGGAAGCTTCATGGGAATGCTCCAATGGTAACCTTTTTCCATGATCCTACATATGATTGAAATTAGAAGATACGGTGGAGAAAAGTTGCGTGGAGCTATTCAAATCTTATTAAAAAAATCACAAAGTGTTAGATTTAGATTTATTTTAAAACCACATAAGTATCTCCGTAATGTGACGCCGGTTGTTTGGGGCTTATTTTCTTCTTTGCCAACTACTTTTGCTCATATAATTCAATGGATTAAGCAATAACATGCATACCAGAATGTCACAGATCAAATCCTTGTCGATTTTTGACCATTTGTATGGGGTTTGTTATCTCTCCTAAGTTATTATTATCTACACGTGTATAAATATTACCCAAGTTAGGCGAGCTAATTAATCTCAAATTGCAATTAGAAATGTAAGATTTCAAGCAATATAGAAGTTGATAGGCATATTAGTGTAAGGCTAACCATTGTTCAAGTATATTAATGAAGTGTATGCAGCTTCTTCTTGTTAAAGAAATTGATATTAATGTTAATTATGGAATTTACTAAAAACAATATTGAGAAAAGGAAAAAGAAACAAGAAAGGGGAAAATTGGGTTTGTATGAAGAAAGTCAAAAAGGAGGAAATAAAAAGGTGGGGGCCCCCATGTGAAGAAACGGCTTTGAATTCAATTATTGGGTTACTTTTCAACTAGCTTGGGTGGATTGAGGAGATCCCTAGGAAGGTTCATACAATGGGACGTCACCTTCATTCCTCAATTATTACCTATATTCCGCCAAAATTTATTTTATGGTTTTGAAACTCAAAACTTTTATTTTAGATTGCTAGTTTTAGCTTATAGGATCAATTACGCTTGAAGTTGAAAAATGAAAATGTATCAAAGGAAGTGATGATACTAGTTAGATGGGGTAACCAATTGAAATCAAGGTACGTGTAATAAATCTATGATAATTTTGTTTTTCGAAATTTGGCCTAAATTGTTATAATATCTTTGTCAAATTCAAAGCTTAATTCCCCATGTAGACAAAGTTTAGTAAGGACAAGTTGATAATTCCCATAAATCATTTCATTTGATGATCAAGTTGTGAATTCAATAGCTTGTTTCTCGCCCGTAATATAAAAATAGCATATATGATACATGCACATGTAAATACCGAGGCCAAACAGCTCATTAGAGAACATAAGATGAATAAATCAATTGTGATTTGAACTAATAAAATAAAAATATTGAATCTTTCTAATATATATTATAAAATATTTTTATAACAAGTTCTTGCAAAATTTTGTTTAGATTATTAATTAATATATAAAATAGTGAGTGTCCTAGCTTCAACAACAACGAAAAGGGGCCTAGGGCATAAAATAATAAAATGAAATAAAGGGGGGCAGTGGGAGACGGGGACATGACCGGCGTAAGAGGAGGATTTGCCGCTTTGGGGTGGAACCCACGGCAACGGAGCAGCGGCAGACCCATATCATATGTCGGATTGTTGGGGTTTCTCATTTCTGCCCCCACGTGTTTTTTCTGTTGGCATTGCATAGTTGCATATTTTCTGCCTACCCCTGTCCCCTTGGGGCTATTCTGTATGGCTCACGTTTCCCTCTACTTGTCCATTTACCCTCCCTTTTTAGTAGTACTGCATTTCTCTCTAACATCACACGAGTATATCAATATTAAAATAATATAAATACAAAATATTTTAATCGAAAATATAATCACCTATTTAAACTATCTTATTTAGCACAATATTTATTCTTCTTTTTGAAATTACAACTGTACAAACAACAAATTATAATCAAAATAAATAATTAGTTGAATTTAAATTAACAAATCATAATAAATTTGATAATTTCATCAAAGTAAATATTAATAAACTCAATACAATTTGAATATAAAATGTTGGATTTTTTAAAATCTCGTAGCAAAATAAGTTTGATAGTTTGATAATTTTTAAAATGTTAGAATTAGCAGTTTGATGGATTCATGAATTGTAGGACCAAACGGGAGCTGGAGCACTCAGGACAATATGACTTGATACACTAAAAGATAATACGAAAACCCGAGTCAATTAACAAGAACAAATTAAGATTCAAAGTATGACTCGATTTGATTAAGAATACTTTAATATTAGATCATTCATTTATACACATAATTAATGCTAACCCTAGTGGCATTGTTCATTCATGAACCTATTAATAATAAATCATTCAAGTTGAAAGTACATAATATCAGAGAAAAAAGAAAAGAGAATATTAAAAAAAAACGAGAGTGAAAAGTGCAAACTAAAAATAAAAATAAATCATCTTAGAAAATTATATGTCAAGGACACTGATCCTCGATACCTATACAACCTGTCACCACCACCTTACAGGCTGGCAACCCATGCCCACTGTTCCATAAATATGCTTATTGTCATGTCACGACAAAATCCTACGTGGCAACATGGTCCGATTTCCTCGTCACCTTGTTTTTCTCCTCTATATAAACTCCCCCCTCGTCCCATTCATCAACGAATTCCAAGCAAACTCAGAGAAAAAAATAACCGAGTTTCAGTTCCAAAATAACAACATCGGCATTATTAAAAAATATCTAGGAATCCGAAAATGGGTATTTTTAGTTCGTGCGATTCAACTCATGTAGCAACGGCTAAGCTGATTCTTCAGGACGGAAGGTTACAGGAGTTCCCTTATCTTGTTAAGGTGTCTTATGTATTGCAAAGGAACCCAATGTGTTTCATATGCAACTCAGATGAAATGGAGTTCGATGACGTCGTATCGGCTATCGAGGAAGAGGAGGAGCTTCAACCCGGTCAACTTTACTTCGCTTTGCCCTTGAGTTGGCTTAAACATCCTTTACAACCCGAAGAGATGGCCGCATTGGCTGTCAAAGCTAGCTCTGCTTTAATGAAAAGTGGTGGCACTGAAAAATCCGGATCTAGACGTAAAACTGTTATTCCTTTTGCCTTCTCCGACGAGTCTCCTCGCCGGAAAGTTGTCTCCCCTCTCAGCGGTGGTGGTGAGAAGAGAGGGAGGGGAAAGTTCAGGGCTATGCTGAGTGATATTCCTGAATAGGGAGGGGGTCATTTTGGGAAATAACGGTGATATATTTGTAAATATATAATGATATTGAGTTAATTTTAGTCAAATATTGGTGCAATTCGAGGTGGTTGACCGTCATTCTGATGTGATTAGCTTAATTTCACAACTCATCCGTCTGTCTTCACATTCTTCGGTTGCCCATGCGAGGGTCGTATTACAATTTTACCCCAATTAGGTTCAAGTGAATACTATAATTTTGGATTAGTGCTCCATGTCCAAACACATATTTTAAACAAATGCATTATACATTATTAATTTTAACACACGTATGATATAAGAAACTTATGTGAGAAATATCTTTATTAAAGTTTATCTACTTTTTTAGAGTTATAAAGATTTAATTACTTTTTTCTTTTGAGAAGAAAACAAAAGTTTAATACTAAATAATAAATTGATTTTAAAATATTTGTTAATTTTGAATATTTAAAAATTACTTAAATATGTTAAAATATGATAATAATTTATCAACAATTAATTAATTTAATGAGATAAGATATTAAATTTCTTAAATAAAATTATAGTTTTATAAATGTATCAAATTCAATTGGGTACGTCACCTCAATAATAAATATTTGAATACAGGTAGTTAAAAAATATATAATAATAAATATAATAATATTTATTATTTTAAATTTTTTTTGAGGGAATTATCAATTTTGAATTTAAAATAATTAAATATATAATTAAAAATTAAAATATTTTTTTAAAAATAATAAATCTAAAAAATTAAATAAAAAGTTAAAAAGAATAAATAAACCTTGACTGATTGCGTACGTTACTGTCTGCGTAAAAATGTTTATAAATGGAAAGGTGTTCTTCAATAAATAAATAAAAAGAGTTTAAAAATTCAGTATTTTATAAATAAATCGTAATTATTAATATTAAATTATGTGATGTTACGGGTTATAAAAATATAAGAAAAACCAATTTTAAAATGATTGCCTCAGCAATATTCTATCTGGGGGAACCTGAGATTCACTCTGCTCAAGGCTGATGTATGCTTGCTAAATGTTCTCTGAGACTGGGTAAGATTTTTGTTTGAAAATTTCAGATTTTCTGGTGAGAATGACCTCTGCTACTTCGTCCAAACTTCATTATTTACCCACTTTGATTTGTTTTAGATGGGCCAAGGAATCGCAACTCACAACTACCTGCACGAGTCAGCATTTTCAGATTTTTCTTATGAGAAAATAACTTCAGTGATAAAAAATACCTTATAATATATGATTTTAACCAACTTTTTTTAGATTTGTCAAAATGACCAACTAAATCGCAATGCGATCGATAATTCGCAACGCGATCTCCGGTATCGCAAATCAGTTTCCAGATTCGCAACGCGAACTTCGACTATCGCATTGCGATTTACATATTCGCATTGCGATAGCCGAAGTTCACGTTGCGATTTATTCCAAGTTCGTTGCGATAGTCGAAGTTCGCGTTGCGATTTATTCCAAATTCGTTGCGATAGTCCAAATTCGCGTTGCGATTTATTCCAAGTTCGTTCGCAACGACGGTATTGCATTTGTTTCTTAAGAATTTTCTCTAAAAACATAGTATTCGCGCGGACGTGTCGAAGACACGTATTACCACGACCACGACCACGACCACGACCACGACCACGACCACGACCACGACCACGACCACGACCCGAAACGAGACGAGACGAGACGGACGGCGGCGGCGGCGGCGCGCGAGAGTCCCCCTTGTTCTTTATCACTCAACAAGGAAGTGGGAAAGCCAAGCCTTAAATACCATTCTCAATAGTGTTTCCAATACTATGTGGGATTGAGCATTACCAACACTTGTTCCCAATACTATGTGGGATTGAGCCTTAAATAGTGATATTATTTTTGAATGTTTTGCTTAAAATTGCAATAATCGCGATTGTTTGTAGATTGACTTTTAATTATGACATATTTAATCGTATAATACTAATGCAATTGGTTGCTGATTCAGTTGTTTTAAGGTGCATGATTGTTAATTGTTTCCTGAATAATCACATTGTATTGGAAACAAGTGTTGGTAATGCTCAATCCCACATAGTATTGGAAACACTATTGAGAATGATATTTAAGGCTTGGCTTTCCCACTTCCTTGTTGAGTGATAGAGAACAAGAGGGACTCTCGCGCGCCGCCGCCGCCGCCGTCTCGTCTCGTCTCAGGTCGGGTCGTGGTCGTGGTAATACGTGTCTTCGACACGTCCGCGTGAATACTATCTTTTTAGAGAAAATTCTTAAGAAACAAATGCAATACCACCAGTCATTGCGATAGTCGAAGTTCGCGTTGCGAATCTGGAAACTGATTTACGATACCGGAGATCGCGTTGCGAATTATCGATCGCATTGCGATTTAGTTGGTCATTTTGGCAAATCCAAAAAAAAAGTTGGTTAAAATCGTATATTATAAGGCATTTTTGGTCAATGAGGTTATTTTCTCTTTTCTTATTTGGATATTAAAAATATAATTAGTTAAATAAGTAAAGTATTCCTATATTTCAATGTTCCATTTAGCTACTTTTTCATTTTCTTTTATTTTTTAATAATTTAAAGTGATTATAAAATAATATTTATTTAAAAAAATTTAATCATTAACAACGCATATATATTTTACAATATAATTGTTCAAACTCATAATTTACAACATTCCCTTTAACCATGAAGCAAATCTATAAGTTTTTTTTAGACAACTCTTTTAACCTTAAAATTTGTAAGGACTTTCGCGCTTACAGAAATGGGCAGAGCATGAAAAGACTTGTAATAATTGGAGATAATTGGCTAAACTCACGATATAATGCTTTCAAAATAAATAATTCACGAGATAATGCACTCCCCATATTATTTGCTGAAATAGAGTGAAATCCACAGTGTGACCGTAGGTCGCCATGCCTTCCGGGCGACCTACTACGTCGCCATGGCTTCCCGGCGAGCTGCACAGAGATAATGGACGTCTGCATGTGCCATGCACGTCCCCAACACCCCAACACAGGTCGCCATGCACTCCCCACTCCCAGCGACCTACAAGGTCGCCATGCACTCCCAGCGACCTTGTAGGTCGCCAAGCAGTCCCGGCGACCAAGCTTGGTTGTTTTCATGCTGATCCTCGTCATATTGCTTGCATGCTTGGTTGTTTTCATCTACGTGGTCACCATGAAAGGCTCGGGCCACCTCGAACCGAGTCGGGCTTACTTGGAATATCGTCTTGAAGATTTTTTGGGTTGGTTTCAACGGAGAGTTCGGAGTTCTTACAAATGGGGTGAATTCAATAATGGCCATAGGTCGCCATGCAATCCGAGCGACCTTGTAGGTCACCATGCCTTCCAGGCGACCTTTGTGGGGTTTTACACGAGCCACGAGCAGCTGTAATAGCCAACTGAGATTCCTTCACGTGCTCCCCTCCTGCTCCCGCTGCATGCCTGCAGCTATCATAGCTGCAATTGCAGCGTGAAATCACCTGCTTCATACAACAACTATTGATGCATGCATGTGAACCATTTGAGCCGTGAATTATTGGTTCAATTATTGAACCATTGCAGCGTGAAATCAGTTGCTATCATAGCTGTAATTGCACAATTATTGGTGAAATAATTGAGGCAGTCGGTTACACCTAAATTATATATGGGGTGTGCATTATCGTGAGAACATAAAAGAAAGAAAGGGAGAAGAGATTGCAGCTGAAGAAAGGGAGAAGAGATTGCAGCAGAAGAAAGGGAGAAGAGATTGCAGCCGAGAAAGAAAGAAAGGGAGAAAGAAAAGGAAGAAGAAGAAAGGGAGATAATGCTCTTGTGAGGTAATTTTTTTATTTAAATTAGTTTATTATTATAAATGTTTAGTTTGTTAGTTTAGGGTTTATGGTAAAACAAAAATTAGTTAATTAGTTTGTTAGTTTAGGGTTATATGATTATTAGTTTAAGTTATATTATACATAAATAAAAAATTATTTAATTAGTATGTTTGATAGTTATATAGTTAAAAAATAATTAATTAGTTTGTTTTGTTAATCGTTAGTTATATAAAAAATTATTTAATTAGTTTGTGGTAGTTAAATAGTTAAGTTATATTTGTTGAATTTATATTATATAAGAAATTAGTTAGTAAGTTTATTAGTAGTATATTATAATGAAAAAATAGTTTATTAGTTTTAGTTATATAAAATAATATTTTATTAGTTGTTTAAGGGTTTAACGTTTACGTTTAACTTATATTTTAAAAAGTTTAGTTTGTTAGTTTATTAGTTTATTATATTATAAGTTATTATATTAAAGTTCAGTGTTGTAAATTAGTTAGTTAGTTTATATTAGATTATATTAAATGGTTTTTTTAAATATTGTTGTTTAATTTTTTTTACAGATTCATTCCAATAGCTGACCAAATTCCACTGTTGAGGCTTGACAATGAACATATTTCAAGCTATTTGGGAATAATGGTGAATAAAATATTTGTTTAATGAATTATAATTAATAAATATTTGAATATTATTTTATGATTGTGATAAATTTTTTGAAATATTTAATTGCAGGAGGACGAGCAGCGAGTCCTTCGTCTTCGGCTACATAAAGTGCCCAAGCCACACAGATTGATGGAAGAAAAACTTGCAGGAGGCTGGATTTTGGTATGTAACATTTGTACGAGATTACAAGTTGGTCTCAGGTTTGATCAGTGCCTTGATTGAGCGTTGGAGACCAGAAACGCACACGTTTCATTTGCCGTGTGGCGAATGTACGATAACTCTGGAGGATGTGATATTGCAACTCGGGGTCCAAACAAATGGGATGCCAGTGGTAATGTCACATGAGTTTAATAATGTGGCATAACTTTGTAGCTTGTTTCTTGGGAAAACGCCCGTACCACCAGAGTGTAAAGGGTGGCGTGTGAGGTTGTCATGGTTGAAGAATGAATTTCAGCTTCAACTAAATAGTACGGAGTACGAAATTATATATGCAACACGAGCATATATATTACAGTTAATTGGGGGTATTTTAATGCCGGATAAATACGGTAGTTATGTTCACACTCAGTATCTTCTTTTTTTAAGAAATTTTGATAATAGTAGGCAATATAGCTGGGGATCGGCGATATT